TGTGGACATGGCAGAAATTGGCCTGCTTTTTGTCTGAGAAATTATCAGGGGCTGAGAGTTATAAAAGTTGCAGGAGGTGGTGAAGATGTCGATTAGAGCCAGTGACAGGACTGAAATATAACTGGGCAGAGGATGAGTAAAAGGCTTAACTTTGAACAGTCCAGCTGGGAAACCAAAGTATGGTTCTGTGGTGGTACAGACCACTGTGCACAGTTGGAGACTACCGCTCTAGTGGGTTGATCAGAACTGGGTTTTTAAAAAGACCTGGCTGCTGTGGAACGAATTTGGGGGTGTTCATGAAAACTCAGTTCTAATACTTGGTCCACAAGAGAGTAAGCCTGGAAGGGACCAGGGCAAACATGAAGAAAATGAAGAAGATTTGCTGGCCTAATGAGAATGCAAAGGAGGGAAAGAGCTTGAACATGTGGGGAGTCTCAGTGGCTAGAAGGGGTCAGGATTCCTAACTGGTGGCTGAGTCCTCTCCCCAGCCTGTGGTGACTTCAGTGGGAAGGGGTGTCCTGAGCTACCTATGTGGCCATTCCCACTGTGCTTAAGACAGGCACACAGAGCTTCCCGGTCACCTGTGAGCACCTCATCAACACCAATCCTGGGAATCAAATTTAAATTGCATTTAAGTTAGCAAAATTCAACTCAGTGTCCTTACCTAAAAAATAGGGTAAGGAAGAGAAAAGCAGTTTAAACAGCAAGGCTTAGCCAGGTGTGTGCAGGAAGCTGGAAACCTGAATTTGGTGGGTTTCTGTGAATCACTCACTGCAGAATGATAACCGTATTTGTGCGTACTCTTTGTGTATGGATTCCATGCCCGTTTCTGCATTTCTGTGTAAGCTCTATGGGGTTGTCTACATAATTAATTTCTGGGCAGTGCTCTTCAAAGATAATTTAATAAGAATGATTTTTGCATACAACTTCTCTAATTCTCTGGGGGAAATGGGACTCTAGGCCAGTTTGTAAGTCTGTGCTATGCTATTTGGCACTGTTAGGTTTGGGAGCTTTTAGTCACGTGTTTCAGACTATTTCAGGAAAACTAGGGCAGTGTCAGAGTAGATTCCTAGTCTCCTGTCTAAGTGTCCCTTTAGGGACACGTAATGAGGGCCACGACCCCCATGGCAGGAATATGAAGGAAGCAGTGAGAAGTATTCATATTTAGCCTTAAGCTGTTTCTTTGCTCTTAAGTTCATCAATTCATTGTTTGTTAAGGACTAATACATTTGCAAATAATTCCTGTGTCCTTTGTATCATAGTTTTCTTAAATTAGAATTTGCATATAATAAATATGAATTTTCTTTGGTTAATGTCTTATATTTCCTTTGGATATACAAAATCCATTTAGCTGTACTGGTAAAAATAAAAGAACTACTGGGATCGTAGGGGAAACTGTGGTTTTACTATGTTTTTAAAATTACAGAACTGTGGTAGTCATGAAGACATAATTGCTAGGTAATAAACTTGGAAAGAATTTTAAGTGGCCAGTTTTGTGACAGTTTTTTTGGGAGGTGGGTCCTCAAAGGAATTAGGACCTAGGGGAGTATGTGTATCCGGGATACACATACTCTTACACATTGTGCTGTATTGCAGAGGTTCAGCTATAAATAGTGCTTATATTAAATGTATATTATAAAATAGCAAGATTATAAATTGCTATGGATATATGTGCCTACTTATAAATATTATGTATTAGTTCAGCTGTGTGTGGTGTATAATTTATAATTGTACGTAAATGTTACACGTTTCCTGTGTCCAAAAAGTTTAAAGATGCTTTATAACCACAAGTCTCCAGGAGCCAAAGAAAGGCTGCGATAGTGAACCTCTCCCTTCTTGGACCAAGGTTGGTTGTTTTCCTGTGAACCTTCTAGATTAAAATTTTTTTCAGCATTTACAAGTTAGTATTTTAATAATCTTAACCTACAGGACGCCCCCCCTTTTTTTTTTTTGGTACCAGGGATCGAAGTTGGGACCTCAGGCTTGCCAGGCAGGCACTGTCCTCCTAAGCTAAGTCCCCACCTAGTACAGACCACTTTTTAAACCATACTTTCTCATCAGTCTGTACCTTTCATTCTTAATCCTGTTTTACTTTCCCTTGTATCTGTAAGTCTTCAGCTTGTTTCTTTTTAACTTTTTGCTTCATTCTTTTGGGATTTTCCTTTCTTTCTACCACCATATTGTGAATTCTGAGCGAGGGTAGAGTTCAGCCATACAGAGCCTTCCCAGCCATGTGTCATCGTTCTTGCCTTATCTTGTCAACGGTGCCTATGAAGGACTGATTGGTTATTGTACTGTGAATCCTTATACAGTTTGGACGTGGTTGTCACGCAAAAAAAAACTTGCTAGCCTCTCAATTACACCACCATTAATTGAACTATTACCATGAGTTTTTTTCCGTCCTGGCAAGGGATTGTAGTCATTGCCATTTCCACTACAGCTGATGATAAATTACTGGCATGTAGAACTTTAAAAACTTGGCAATTTTATGTCTGTACCATCAGTTCTAAGTTAACCCCTCCAAAACCGTAAGGTGGCTTTGCTGTGTTCTCTGCCCGCCACCATCACTTGCTCCTAATGTCTCACCAGTGCACGTGGAAGTTGGCCTTAGTTGGGTTTCATTTACCGAGGTGGAAAGAATCAATCAGTGGAAACTTAATGAAAACCTGGTGCCTTTTTTTTGTTAGTCAGCTGATCTCGGTGAAGTAGAGGGGAATACTAGACATATATTCCCTTCTCCCCGTTCCATCAGCGGTAATAGGGAAGTTTTTCAGTGTCTGATGTGTTAAATCCTACAAGCATTTTTCTTATAGTTGGGTACCCATTGGCCGTACCACTTTTTCAGAATGTCCAAGGCATCAGTCTGCCTTTGCTAGCAAGATAGTTATGAGCCATACTGGCACTGATAATTGTGTAAGAAATTTGGTATTTTCCTGATTGAAAGATGTTTTTAAAAAAATATCTTGCTAATTGCTATTTCCATTTTTTAATCCCTTTTCCTCAGAAACCCACAATCTGCCAAAGCAACCTCCTCTTGCCCTAGCAATGGGACAGGCCACACAATGTCTAGGACTGATGGCTCGATCTGGAATTGGATCCTGTGCATTCGCCACAGTGGAAGACTACCTACATTAGCTATGCATTTCAAGAGCTCACACTATATTGTGGCATTTAGTCAACATGGAAGTAGACCAGCTCTGCAGATTTGAAATTTAGATTTTTTTAAATTATGTACTGGGGACAGGTTTTTGTCGCTTTACATTGCTTCCTAGTTTACAGCATGATGCAGATGATTTTCTAACTTAGTGTTAGGAGAAATTATTTTCCATCTTTAACCTCTTAGTTGTCTAAGAGTTAAAAATTACTGAATTTCAGACATTCAAATTGATCATCAGAAATCCTTTAAAACAGTTACCTAAAAGAAACCAAAAACTCCTGCCTTCTTTGGGGGGGGGGAGAGGGGATAGGACATGGAACAAGTTGTGTTTGTGTTAGCATGTGGGTAATGTAAACTTCAAACTGGGAGATGTTCCGACCCCTACTCCCATATAAGCATTCAATCAGTGTAACTTGCAAAATGCGTAAATATTGGACAGTTTGAATTTATAGTGTTGATGGAAAAAAATCATTTTTAATGTGTACTGTAAAACTTGAAATACTCAGGAGCTGAGTGAATATGTTTGTTGCTACTTACAATCCCCACCTGTTAGTCCCAGTAGTTTTGTTTTAACATGGTCTTTTTCAACTTTGTTTCCTGTTTAACTACAGATGACTTCTGTTGTAGACTCACAAGTTTAACTGTTGTATTATAACAGTATTACATGTCAACAGTGTGGTTATGACCTTTATTTATATAAAAACCAAATATTTAGTAATTTACCGTGTCTTAATTTAATCTTTGTACACCTTCCATTTTTAAGTGCTTAAATGAGTACTATATTGCAATAAAAATGTAGTGATATAATTAACCAGCCATTAAAAATTTACTTCTACAGATTTTAGTGTCATTTGAATTTATATAATAGGTTATTTGTATAATTATGGCTTAAGATAAAATCAAAGCAATTAATATTGATGGTTTTAACCATCAGTCCGAGTTCTGCAACCTAATGCTGCCTCCAGAATACTGGCCTCCTTGGATTAGGGTCAAATCTGATACTGTGTGATACAGAAAAAGTTAACTTCTTTATTTCCATATCACATGCTATGTGAGATCTGCCAATCAAGCAAATCCTAAACATTAAAATTTGGACAGATTGTTCCACAAATTAAACTCATTCTTTGGTTTGGTAAAGGTATTGATTGTATTTTCTCCATTGAGGCTTGAGTCTTCTCTAAGAGTAACAGATACAGTTGACCCTTGGCTTATAAACTCAGTTTGTTCATGAGGGCTGCTTGTAACTCAAGTTGGTCAATTCAGTTGAAGGATCAAGCTCCTCTACACAGCCTTCATGAAGTCTTTCCTGTTCCAGGCTGATCTCAGTGTCTTTAGAGACACTGGGCCAGGGTTTCTCAACCCCGCACAGGAAAGGGTGTAGTAATAATGTTCCTTCCAGAAAAATCTGTATCTGAGACTGTCTGGAAGTGCAAGCGGCCACTATTCAAGTCATAACTCAAATCTTTGGCCATAAGTTAAAACTATAATGCCAGTTGTAACCGAAGTTGTCTGTGTCAGGTCAGGCTGGTGGTAACTCGAGGGTCCACTGTACTTCTTACCTACATTTAAGATTTTGTACTCTTCCACAACCACTTCTCAGCATCTACACTCCTGTCTTCCCTGCCACACACGGCATCTGGGAGATTAGGAGTTATCCTTACTGAAGTGGGTACGGCCTATGGTTCAGTTAAATGGATGAAAAGGAAAACAATTCCTTTTATACTGCCTTCTTTCAGGACCCCCAAAGATTACAAGGCATCGCTGTACTCCAGAAAGATGAAATGGAGCCAAGTACTTCCCTAGATTTATGGGGTTTGGAAATGATGAGCCTTTTAGAGATTAGTTTTCTAAGTAAAATAATTTTAAATTCTTTACAAAGTACAGATTTTTTTCATGTAGCTTTAATTTACTTCTTAGAAGTTTTCATCCTTTCTGACCATCCATCGCCTTTTAAACCGCTTCGCATTTTGTTTTCTCTGGACTCCTAGAAAAGAAAGTTTTATGGAGTAAGAATATTAAATATTAATTAAAACTAAAAAACCATCAAACTCAATGAAATTCAGTTTCCATGAAATTCTTACTTTATATGAGAAGATACAGTAAAATAAGTAATTATAATTATGAACTAAATTATCAAAGCCAAAAGAATAAAGCTGAATCTCACCCCAAGCATTATTCAAAAACTGGGCTGCAGCCTTTTTCACTGGTGACCTCTTGTTGTCAAGAGACAGGAACTTATTTACTAAAAGAAAACTATCTGTTATTTTTGTTTTGTTTCCAATAAAAGGAATGAGAAAAACAGTCCATTAGGAATTACCAGTAGTTCTCTTGGTTCCCGGACCATACAAGGAATCATGTATGAAAGCTTTGGCTGCTTGCTGCCTCGAATCCCTCAGATCCTGGTCTTTCAGCCTTAGAGCAACGTAGCTTTTCTGGCTGTTGATCAGTACAAAAGGTGACAATAAATGAGGATGACACATGCTTACTTTCATTTGCAGCTTGAAGTTTTTCTCTGGTAGCTGTGGATAGAACCAGGGTCTCACACATGCTAATGAGCAAGTGCTCTGTCACAGAGCTGCATTCCCCAGCCCAGGTTTAGGTTTTTGTAGTGCTGAGGATTGAACTCATGTCCTGAATGTGCTGGCCCAAGGGCTCCACCACTGAGCTACATCCTCAGCCCCTAAATGTGTGCTTTGAAAATAACATTTCTTTTTGCTATCTCATAAACAATAATAAAAAATGGAATTCTCATTCTGTTTATGCACAGTTAATGAATACCAGTTACAAGGCTATTTTGTAAGTAGGCTAACATGTTACTGCAGCATGTAAATGTATAATTATCAAAACATTTTTTTTTTTACAGAGTATCCCATCTGAATTGCAATTATTTGCTGCAACATGTTAAAGGTCACCTATACCTCCCATGTGTGGCGGGGGTCGTTACCTGACAGACTGTACTTTTTGTACTTTAACTTTCTTGGTGTTACTTCCTTTTTCACATTCTTCACTTTTCTTTTGTAAATTCACTAAAAAAATGAGTTTGATTTCTAATTAGCATTTACATAAAAATAAATCAGAAAAAGAAAATCAGAAACATTTACTGGAATTCACTTTAAATATCCACTCCCCGCCAATATGGATGCAGGTTTTACTTGTAAGAAACATGGGGGACAGGCTGAGGCTAAGAAGGACTAGTAACATTTAACTGAAAGTATCTATAAAGGCACTTGACACTAAATGAGAAATTGTTTAAATGAGAACCGTTCATACCTTCTTTCAACTTTCCTGGTGATTTCTTTATGCTAAGGCAAAAATTAAAAACCATTAATTGGAAGGGCAGCAAAGATTACTCAAAATGTTATGCAATTCATGTAGTTTACGAACAACTTGCCACATTTCATTGCCACCATCCTCAATTTTTTACTCTGGTTCATCAGTTTCAGAAAGCAAGTCACTGCCACCAGCTCTCAGTGAACAAACCAGTACTTTAGGATCAGAATACTGTATCTTCTTAGAATTTAAAAGACTTAAGAATGAGTTACGGAACGCAGTATTCAAACTCAAGTAAATGGCAGGCCTGTCTCATACTTGGAGAAAACACAAAAGACTAAGGGACAAGGATGAAGACAAGGTCAGTCTCAAAAGAGACAGATGTCAACTGATAAAGCTGCACACAGGAAAGGCTCAAAGGTGGAAGTGATGGGAGGGGCAAGTGGAACGCAAGAGATGACCCCTGAACTTGGTTTTAAAGGTGAAAGAGAATTTGTCAATCAGGTCTGCTGTAATTTAAAGTATTCAAGATCTGAATAATTCTGAAAACATTCTTTTACTGAAAATTTGAGACCCACTGGCCTAGGTAAAAGGGGGCTAAACTTCTGAACTGAAAGAAGTAAAGAGGTCAGCAGAAAAAAACCCAAATATTTAGAAGACCAAATTCAGTAGGAATTTACCGATTTCCATGTGATACAGCAGGAAGAGGACAACCGTAGCCCCTTGGCTTTAAACATTCAGTGTGTGGCAAAGCTGCTAAATGAAATGGGGAGCACAGGAGGTTGGTGGCAGGTAAGGCAAATGAAAAAGTTGGGTTTTAGAAGCCTGTGGATAAATGCCATTCCACTAAGTGGTAACTTTTTTTTGGTACTGAGGATCGAACTTGGAACCTTGGGCTTACGAGGCAGGCGGTGGCACCACTGAGCTACATCCCTGGCAGTGGTAACTCTTAAAACACTCATTCTCTGCACTCTAAGCTGCTGTAAGCACAAGTGCTCAAAATATTTAACAGAAAGAACCTATGGGAACGAACAAAAGAAGTGGACCATTGTCCTCCATATTTCAAATACCACGGTGTAGCTGTTTAATTAAGGCTCTGTGTTTTCCTCCATTAAATGGGTTCAAATAAATGTACTAGTCTGTAATTCAAATATGGCTACATGTAAGCAAGAAATACAAGAGGATTCGTTACTTACTCAGTCTGTGAAGCCGTAGTTAACTGCGCTAGAATAGTGTCTGGAAGCAGTTTTCTTTTCTTTGAGAATAAAGACATTTAAAAGTAAGTTAAAAGTGATGTAAAAGGATGCTTGTAATCCCAGCCTGAAATCCTAGTACTTGGGAGGCTGAGGCAAGAGGATCGGTGAGAATTCAAGACCAGCTTCAACTACATATGGCGATCCTATCACAAAAAAACGATGCACATGAAGATGGATCTGGAGTTACTTCTTAAATTACTGCTTTTACAGGACAGTGCATTTTACGCAAATCAATGAATTAAGCTAAACACTGCCCCCGCTATCTCTAGGCTGGGGGTAAGACTGGGTTTACAACTCAGAACCTCTTCCTTATTCTCTGGAAGCCTGAGTGAAAACCGGGGTATCCACAGGTTTCCCGCTCTCAGGTCAGGTTAGGAAGTCAGGGCCCCGTGGCAAGTGTGCCAAGCCTCAGTCAGCAAAGCAGTCAGACCCGTGTTTGTACAACGCTTACCTTTACAGATCATCGTATTTCTCACAGCAACCTAGTTTCAGATCAAATAAACACCCCACTTCTGCGAAGCTTAATGTATCACAGCTTGCTGAGTGTCAAAGCTGGGACCCTAACTCTTGACTCCAAATTCACAGCTCTGCTCTCATTTTCAATGGGTCGACAGCAAGGCGCGCGGGCATCCTTTTTAAACATTCGTGACTTTCCCCCACGAGTGTCCTCGCCCAAAATGCATCAAACATGGGCCTTCTAACCCGGGCCGGGTAGTTTCAAACGGAAGCGCCCCTACCCTCTAACCTTCTGTTCGATGAACAGCTCCTCGCGTCGCTTCCTCTTCTCCTTCAGGAGCGTCTTGTCCCTGGAGGGGGGTGACAGGTCAGCGAAGGAGGCCCGGCGGCTCCGGAGCGGGCGGCTCTCCCCGCCGGCCGCGGGCTCCGAACCTGAGTACGGTCTCGCGCACTCGCCGCTCCTCTTCTCTCGCTTCCGCCTGGGCGCTGGCGAAAGTCAGCTCCTCCGGAGCCTCATCGTCCAACTCATCGTCCCCTTCCTCGTCTTCCTCCAGAGGCTCCGCGGCCGCGCCGCTGCTGGGCTGCCCGAGCAGCAGGCCGTGCTCCGCCTCCTCCTCCTCCTCCTCCTCCGAGGCCGGCTGGCCCTCGTCTACCATCGCCTCCGCCGACGCGGGGGCTCGGGAAGCGCGTGGCCGGAGCTGCACCATGATTTACGCGGCGCTGGAACGTCTGACCTCTGACCCGGAAGCAGTTGTAAGCAGAACGCGACCTGAACGAGCTAGCGCCACTGGATTTCATCGCCACCTGCAGGTTCGGAAGTCCACGCCACCTGCAGGTTCAGGCGGCGGCGCGTGCGCAGAGGCGCAGGGGCGTGGCCTCGGACGGCGTGGCCTGGCCTCCCCCGCCTGGCCCGCCCAGAGAGCGTTGTCGCGCGGCCCGCAGCCCGGAGAGCTAGCGTCGGGTTCCGCGTGGTCGGTCCAGTTGGTCAGCGTTTGTGGGTTCGGCGCCATCCACCCCACGCTCCGAGTCTCCCAGGAAGAAGCCACCGATGCCCGTCAGCTCTGCTGTCACCCACGAGGGACGGAGCCCGGCCGGAGTCCTTGGCATCAGACGTGTGCCGGCGACCGTGTCTGTTCCTGTGCCCTCCTTGCTGTCCGACTCGGTTATCGCGGACGCTCTGTGGCCTGTGCGGGGTCCTTGTCCCGGCCGGGTCCCCGTGATCTTGAACAGCGACTGCCCTGCCTCGTCGCCAATGCTAAATACTATCTGTGGGAAGAGTGAGTGCCGCCTTATCGAATGGCCCTTGTGTGTGTGTGAGTGTGTGATTCCCCCAAAGTATATTCTCTGTGATACCATCCCCCCCCCATTATATAGTGCTAGATGATCTGTCGTTTCTCTGCACACATCAGGCTGTTTCACACTGTGCACTTGTAAGCGCTGTTGCATCCACTGATGTGCACGCTGCCGTGTAGAGCTCCTATTAACACTTCCAAACCCTCCACTCAGGCTGAGTTCAAGCACCTCAACATTCACCCATCCCACTGCCACTCTGCCAATCTCCAACTGCACTTTTCTCTGAATCTTACTCAAATCTTTAGTACTATAGCACCCACATTACACTAGTTCAACCGTCCTGGGGGCTTCAGGATGACTCCCAGGTCTTGCTTATCATTTATCAAATGAGTCAATAAATACTCCAATAATTCTCATACATATTTTGTATGAAAGATTTAGAAGCAATCCCCACTCTAAAAACAACAAAACTAAATACAAACAGTAATGACAAAACACAAAACAAAACTGCTGGTACTGAAACAAGTCTGTAACTTCTGGGTCATGGTCAGATAGAAACTACAAATCAGAACCGTACCCGGAGTCCCTGGGACAGCATGCTGCTGTCCACCGTCTACACCAGGGCAGTGTTTGTAGTCGACTTGGAGAAGCCCAGGAACGGAGCCTGCAGGAGCCTGCTGAAAGTGCTTGATGGTTCGTATGTTCAAGAGCTGCACTGTGAGCCTTAGAAAGCTTCACCATAGCGCATAAACCTTGACCCACCCACTTAAGTGTGAATCAAGCCCTCAGGGCACCTGGCTGATTCCCCACAGAATATGAACCTCCCTCTTCCCCCCCAAAAAGGGCCTTTGGGTTTATTAAAATGATGGCTTCCAAATGCAGTTCAGAGTTTGACATATCTGGGCTGATCCTTGGGTTATCCACATATCTGCATTGTTCTTTTTTCTCATCCTGGCTTCTGTCTTGTTACTTTTCCCTCCTTTCCTCCCTCCTTCCCTCCCTCCCTTCCTTCCTTCTTGCCTTCCTTCCAAGAGTTCTTGTTGTAAATTACTGTATGTTCTTGGAGGTAAGACAGCCAAACAAAGTAAATACTGATAAAAGGGCCCCAAAAAAGACATCTCTTGGTAACATCTTTATATAATAAATTCCCTACTGTAGACAGTGATCTCATTTTCCATCAACACTTAATACCAGGGTTTTACCCTCCTATCTTTTCCAAAGAGAAAAATACATCAAGATAAGTAATGTTTTAAAGACAATCTCATTACAAATTTTTCCCTCCCAATAAATGGGAGGGAAACACAAATGTAAGACACTTACATTTCAGTTCACACCAAGCGTGCATTAACTTTATATTTCTTCCAAGCCCAATCACTTAGCGATAGTTGGAGTCCAGTCAAGGAATCAGAGGACATTTTTAGATCTTCCAGTATTCAGCTCACAATGGATGGACTATTTCTTCTGTTTGTGGCCTGGTTCTTTGTTATATTGGGTTTTCTTCCTTTCCCAGGATACTTAAATAGTTTCAGTTTCATGACGAGCAAGGGCTTCAGGAAGAGTTGTCCCACAAGGTCCCTGGAAATAAAACCTAAATGGAAGGACCAAATATAGCAGAGTTAGGAGCTGTAAGTTAGTGAAAGGAACACACAACTATATTGAGTTTCAGATTTCTTAGGCAATATCCAAAGTAAAATCCAGATTCTGACAAATTTGGTATCTTCAATTTTGTGCTCCCTTCTGTACTGTCGTCAACTCACTATTGGTGACTAAGGGAGTTTAGAGAAGCAGTTGGTTAGAATTTATATGATATAAATAATTTCCTGGTGTGATGGCCCACTCCGTAATCCCAGCACTTGGGAGCCTGAGGCAGGAGGATCACTGCAAGTTTAAGGCCAGCTTGAAATACATAGTGATATACTGTCTCAAAAATAAATTTTTAATTTAATGGGTATGGAAGGCATGATTTTAAAATGTATTTTGTGATTGAATTGCCAAACTTGTAATGGAAACACACACACACACACACACACACAAATACACACACACACACATTTGGACACAAATGGAAAGATATCCCATGTTCATGCATTGGATGAATTAATATTGTTTAAAAGTCCATACTACAATGTAATCTCTATAAAAATTCCAATATCATTTTCCATAGAAAAAGAAAAAAGCAATCCCAAAATTCATAGAACCACAAAAAACCTTGAATAGCCAAGGTGATCATGAACAAAAAGAATAAAGCTGGAAGCACTACCTGGCTTCAAAATAAACTACACATGAATAGTAATGAAAACAGCATGGTGTAGGCATAAAAAAGCATGCATTGGCCAATGGAACCGAATAGAGCCCAGAAATGTATCCACACATCTATGGCCAACTGATTACTGACAAAGGTGCCAACCTTTGGCACAATGGGGAAAAGACAGTCTCTTCAAAAAACAGTGTAAGAGGGCTGGGGCTTTAGCTCAGTGGTTCCGCCACCTGCCTCGAAAGCACAAGGTCCCAAGATCGATCCCTGGTACCAAAAAAAAAAAAAGGGTAGGAAATAGTGAGTATCCACATGTAGAAAAATGAAACTGGACCCTTATTCATTTCATGTACAAAAATCAGTTCAAACTGGATTAGTTACTTAAAACCTACCCCTGAAACTATGAAACTACTAGGGGAAAAAAAGCACATAAGAAAAGCCATATGACATTATTCCGGGCAATGAATTTTTATATTTGACTCCCCAAACACAAGCAACAAAAGAAAAAAATAGATAAAGGGGATTACACTAAAATACAGTGCTTCTGTGTAATAATGAAGCTACAAGCAGAGTGAAGTGACAATCTATAGGTTGGGAGAAAATGCTTGCAAACCACTCATCTGCTAAGAGGTCAATACCATCATTACATAAGGAATTCAAACAACTCTACAGAAAGAAAAGAATCAATTAAATAATGGACATGGGACCTGAATACACATTCCTAAAAGAAGACATCCAAATGGCCACCATGAATATGAAAAAATGCTCAACATCACTAATCATTGGGAAATGCAAATTAAAATCACAATGAGGTATCACCTCACATCTGTCAAAGTAACATTAGAAAGACAAAAGAACAACTGTTGGCAAGGATGTGTAAAAGATGCACTTCCTATCAAAATTCCAATGTCATTTTCATAGCTGTAGGAAAAATCCTAAAAATTTATATAGAACCACACAATAAAAACCCCGAATAGTCAAGGTGATAACTAGCATAAAGAACAAAGCTGGAGGAGTCACTTGTAAATGCCCGTCCATTGTTGGTAGGTATGTAAATAGATAGTAAATAGCAAATATGTAAGCAGTCGTGATGGAAAACTGTACGGGAACTGCTGCAAGATCCAGGAGGTGCCAATTGATAAAGCACATACATGAGGAGACCAGCAAAACATAACCAAAATGTGTTTTGCTTTTCTCTAGGAAAGAATTTGCAGGCAACCATGTTTAAATTTAATTACCTAAGATGAAAGATCCAAGAAACTAGGAAAATAATTGGATTTCACAGCACTATTTTCAGAATACAAAAATAAGGTTAGATATACAATCTTTCTAGGTTTTTGAAATTCATGATTCAGATTGCTCCCTATTTGGGTAGTGATTGTACCACCAGTAAACATGTGACCACAGCTTTTAGTAGAACCAATAAAGAAAAAAATTCACATTTGTGTTTCTGGTAGTTACGAATGATTTGATATATATCATTTAGTATATATATTTAGATGTGTTTTTCCAGGCTCCTCATATCCACATTTTCTTTATCTAAGGTCATAATCCATTCTGTTAGGATTCTGTCATATCCTTAGGAGAGTTTTCCATCCTGATTGGTTAATACTGTTTCTTTACTGATTATGAAACATTAGTTTCCTGAAACTGGTTAATTTTGTCTCATAAATAAGGATGATTGTTTTAGCCTGCTCAGATTGGTACAGATCCCTGAAACCATGATTGGCATATGTTAGATAGCAAATGAGAAGATCTAAGAGGCATATGCTGCTTTGGAGGTAGAGTGGACGTGTGTGTAGAAGCTTTGTCTTAAATATATAGTGTTAGTGTGATGCTATATTATTGAAAAAATAGTAACTTTTCTTTCTATTTTATAAGTTGTATGCATAAACAAAATTTGTAATGTTTTACTTATAAACTGCCTTCAACACATGCTTATCTATTAGTAGTATTTCTCAAAGTATGGTAGTATGTCTTCCAGAATTTCACTATATGCTTACAGTTAATAGTTACTAGCTTGTTAAAATGTTGAATTTCCTGTTGGTTTCTTTTGATTATATGGGTGCATATAGCAAGCCTGAAGGATGTAATCATTTTTTACAGGGTGAAATTTTAGATTTTGTATGAGAACCTGTATAGTTTTTTTTGTCCATTATCAGGTTATGGTTTTTGTTTTGTTTTGTTTAACGCTACTTTCAGTTAATACATCATTTGGCCCTACCAAATTTTCAGGGACCAGAAAACTATAAAGTTTATAGCCAATTAAGTATTAGCTTGGAATTGTTCTGAAGTATTAATTCCTTATACACTACTGTAAGTATAGCTGGCAAGATCTCCAAGCTGAAAGTTCCATGTTAATACTTTTACCCAAAAGAGTTTGTATGTGAATGTTAATAGAAACACATATAAGCAAAATAAAATTTAAGGTGGCCCAAAACATTTGATGCTTAGTCTTTGTAAAAGTTCTTCATGTTCGACTTGTCCCAATTGATGTTAAATGTAGACAGGTCATATTTTTCATTCATTTACCTGAAAGATTAGTTCTACAATTTTATTGAAAATCTTTGCCTAAAATAATTGCTTCTACTTCTGGTTAGCACTGACTAAAATGTGAATAGTGAAATGTCTATCATAAATCTTTGTTTATCTCAACCCATACTATCATAGATTTCTGAGGTAAATACAGTTGATAGCTAGTTGTATTCTACTTGTATCCAGAATACTGTATTAATTAAAAATTTACTATGTTAAAAAAACAAGATCCAGGAGGTGACTCCACTTCTGGGTATTTACATGTCAAGAGGTACACACTCCCGTCTTTTAAGTGCCCCTTTGCATTCACAACAGAAACCCAGATACCTCACACATCCCAAATTTTACAATGGTACCTCAGAGTATAAAATCACAAGGGCCAAATATTGGCACAGACTTGAAAAAACAAATGGTTTCTAAAGGCTGGGAACACATCCTTGGTGCAGTAAGGTGGTTTCCTCCCTGCTTTCAATAAAGACAGAAGTGTCAGCCCACTAAATATTACACAAAATGACTGTGTGTTGTGGCACATTACTTGGCCAACATTTACAATAGGTCCACAGTAGACTTCAACTCAGTTCAAAGACAACACAGTGAGGCCCGGCGATTTAGCTCAGTGGTGCCGCACCTGCCTCGCAAGCACAAGGTCCTGAGTTCGATCTCTGGTACCAAAACCAAAAACAAAACAAAATCAAAAGACAACATAGTGGCTGCAGAGCCCTGGGAACCAGGTGCTCAGAATGCCTTCAACCCAGCTTGTGCTCAGCACAAAACCCATCTCTGCCTCAGCAACGTACAAACCCTTATGTGCCACAGAGCCTTGGGGTTGAGTAACAGAACAGTCAAAACTCTGAGGGTGAAACAAAAACAAAAACAAAAACACTGAGGGTGAAGTCAGAAAATGCCTAGGATTTGCTGTAAAGAATTATCCAAGGCAACCATTCAGGATTCAGAAAATGACAAAATCCAAACTCGAACTAATTAATACCTTGGTGATATCAATACACATCTGTGGGAGGTGAATTCTATGGCTTTGTATCTAAATTAGAACCAAGACAAAGAGTCTAAACAACTTGTGCAAGGCCCGAGGAGCCTTGTGAGATCCAAATTTAAAATGTAGGCAGCATTCCAGATAACCAGTTAAGTAAAAAAATAAATCAGGTTAAAAGTAGCAGGGAATATTTTCCAATTTTCTTTTTTCTCATTAACCTAGAGCAGGGATTGGTAAGGTTTTTCTGTGGAGCGCCTCATAGTGAATATTCTGGGCCTTCACAGACCACACAGTCTCTCTCTGCTGCTGCACACACTGTCACTGGAGTGCAAAAGCAGCCACACACGATAGACGGACATATGGATGAAGGTACCGCTGTCTTCACCAACACTTGGTTTTTGTTTTGTTTTGGTTTTTTTTGGTACCAGGGATCGAACGCAGGTCCTTGTGCTTGCAAGGCAAGGGATGGAACCACTGAGCTAAATCCCCGGCCCTATCACTTGGTATTTTCTTTCCTTTTTTCTTTTTTTTTAATCACAGCCATTCTGGTTATGAAATGGTATCTCATTGTGGTTTTAATTTGCATTTTTAAAAATGGTGAATGTCATTCTAATATACATATTGGGCACATGTATATATTTAGTGAAATGTCTTTTCAAATCTTTTGGCCCACTTTTTAAGCAGATTATCTTTTGAATTGTAAGAATTGTTTATATAATCTAGATACAGATCCCTTATCACATATTAGATTTATAGATCTTCTCTCCAATTCTGTAGGTTGCCTTTTCACCTTATGGATGGAATCTGTTGAAGTACAAGTCTTAATTTTGATAAAGGTCAACTTACCCATTTTTCTTATGCTTCTTATACTTTTGGTATTATATCTAAAATTTTTTAAATTAATCCAAGGTCACAAAGATTTACTCCTATATTCTCTCTTAAGGATTTCATAGTTTTGACTCTTACATTTAGGTCTGTTACCCACCTTGAGTAAATTTTTGTGAATATTGTGATGAAGGCCCTAACTTCCTTCTTCTGCATGTGTATATCCAGCAACATTGTTGAAAAGGCTACCCCACCCCTCCACACCTCTAACCCCACCACACACACTGAATTGTCTTGGCAATCTTCTCAAAAATCAGTTGACCACAGATGACAGGCTTTATTACTGGACTCTCAGTTCTATGTCACTAATTTTATATCTCTGTCCATATGCCAGTACTACATTGCCTTAACTAGAGTAACTCTAATAAGTTTTGAAATTCCAAAGTGTGAGTTCTCCAAATTTCTTTTTTTTGCTTTGGCTATTCTGAGTTCCTTGAATTTCCATATGAATTTTAGGACTACTTTGTCAATTTCTGCAAAAAGGCAGCTGTGATCTTGATAGAGACTGGATTGACCCTATGGATTAGTTTGGGTAGGACTGCCATCATACAAATGATAAGTTGGTCAGATCCAAGTACGTGGGATATATTCCCATCTAATCAGGTCTTTTTTATTTCTTTAAACAATGTTCTAGAGTTTTTTAGAGTATAAGCTTTACACAGGAGACAGTTTTTAAAAGAAGAAGTCTTCTTAGTTCTGATGACTTACTACAGATGAAAAACTGGGCCAAGGACACAGGTTGTAGCTGATTTAAGGGACACGTGGAGAAGACTAGGATCAGAGGTCGGTGTCTCACCTGGTGAGGGTCCTGTCCATGCCTGCGGCACCAGTTTTATCCCCATGGAGACCTAGAGCAGCGGCTGTCATCCTGGTTGTGCGCTAGAACCATGGAAGCTTATAAACGTCATGGTGCTCAGGCCACCCTGGGACCAGTGTCATCCAAACCGCCTGAGATGGCCCACGGGTGTATTTTCAAGGTGGAAAGCCACCGACTAAAGTAATGACACGCATCTTCCCTGAAGTTTTGTGCTTTATTTCTACTGGTTACTTATTTATATTCTACCTTATTCTAGAAAGAAATTAAGCCAACTGGCAAGAACTGAAAGTGAAGGCAAGAAACTGAGGATGAGAAAAAGCAGCAAAGCAAAGGTGAAGGCTTCTAGTGGAACCGGAATGAGACTTAAAAACGAGTTCTGTTATAATGATCTACACTTTCCACCCAAATTTAGGCGACAGGATCAGTATCATAAGGTGGCCAGGAATACAAATTTTCTTGTTAAAGAGACAAATGAAAGCAAAGTCTCAAGAATCAAAGAGCTTTCAGAATATGAAGAAACAAAAGCCCTATGGTAACTCCTGTGTAAAAGACACAGTCACACTAGTCTGCAGTCAGTACTTTGTTCCTCCATAAAGGCAGCCAAGCCATGGAGGTGACATGTCCAAGCCTGCCCTCTGCCTCCCCTCACCCACCATGGTTGTCCCTGTACCTGAATCTGTCGGTGGCTGGGGTGGTTTCTGTGTTAAATTCGGCCACTGGCACTTCCCTGGCCGCTACCTCAGGGGCAAACATGGCGGCTGGGTAGACCACAGAGGAAGTCCCCACCTTAAAACAAACACACAGAAGCGGACAGTAACTGCTCTGTGGGGAGAAGAAACACTTTTTCAGAAAAACTTACACAAATTCAGGCAGGTCTGTGCTTGCAGATGTGAGGGAAGCTAGACAGGATGTGCTAAGTTAGACAGTGTCCTAGGGACGAGCAGGAAGTAGGGGGTGACCTTCAGGCCAGTCAGTAGCATTTGAGGACAGGTAGCCCAAAAAGGAGAGCTATGCAGGTAGACAGAGTGGCAAAGAAGGGACCGGGCAATTGTATGGGGGGAAATTCTTTTTTTTCCCTTCTCTTTCAAGTCATGCAAATAATTTTTTTTTTTTTTAGGGAATACAAAGAAAAAACACATTACGTTATTCTTGATCCTACCACCCCACAATAACCACTGTTAACATTTTTATATCTATACTTTTTCAGGTTTTTTCTTATAAATATATTCTTATAAACATCCTTTACAAGAATGGAAAGATCTGAACATGTTTTGCAAACTACTTTTTCCCTCTTAACAATTAATCATGAACACTAATACAATATTCAATATTGGGGTGCACATAATAAAATACTGGCTGAATATGATAGAAACACAGAGAAGTACCTCTGCTTTTCTTTTAGACAGGGTCTCACTGTGTAGGTTAGGCTGGCCTCGAACTCACTATGTATCCCAGGCTGGCCTCGAACTCACAGTGATCCTCCTGCCTCAGCCTCCCGAGTGCTGGGATTGTGGGCATTTGCCACTACGCCCGGCAGTACCTCTGCTTATAAAGACATGTTAAGGAAATGCTAAGTATCCATATGCTTTGTCCACTAATTCCACTTCTAGGAAATGTGTTCTAAGGAAATAATCTGAAGAGCATGCTAATATCTCAGGATATTCATCACAGCATTGTTTAAAATTCCAAAAGTTGAGATAGTCCAAATGTCTAGCAATAGAGGATTGGTTAAATATATCATTTTAAATCCAGATAATAGAGACACCATGCAGTCAATTAAAAGTGATGTAGATTTGGCTGTATTTAAGCAAACTATATTGAGGAATTGCTATGTGAACAAGGTAGTTTCAGGACAGAACATGCATCCTGAATTTGCTTTTAAATTGCATATGCATTTACCTAAGAGGAGGTCTAAATCAGAGGTGGCCAAACTTTTGCTGAAAAGGGCTATACAGTGAAAGTTTTAGGCTACACAAATGCTCTGGTGCCTGTCACCAGGACCCCACTCTGCTGCTATCAAGTGATAGTAGCCAAAGGCAATGGCCATGCTGTGTTCCAATAAAACTTTATTCATGAAGACAGGGTACAATTCGCTCATCTCTGATCTAGAAGAAAAACATACCAAAATACAGTGTCTATTTCTAGATGGTAGAATTATGGATGCTTCCCAATTTACTTTTGATAATTTGAAATTTTTGTAGTCATCAATGAAATTTAATAAGGAGCGTGTATTATGTTTAAAATCTGAACCATTAACATGCCTCTTTTGGTAGGCGAGAAAGTTCTAAGATGCTCAAGAAATAGTCTTGCATAATTTCATATCTTAGGAGCAATTTTTATCAGCTTTTGAGTTTTTCTGTGGGATACTAGAGTACCTCTCCACATATATTTTTCAGGAAAGAAGGAAGAAAAGATGGAAGGAGGAGGAAGAATGAAGGAGAGGGAAAGGTGGGAGAGGAGAGAGAGAGAGAAGAGGAGAGGCACAGAGGCAGTGGCAACAAACTGCACCCCACGGTCAGGGTTTGGGAAAATCCCGAGCATGGGGAAGGGCGGGACCTACCACCAGACATAAGTCACAGAGCTCCAGCTCTCTGGAGGCCTTCTCCAACACGGCAGGATCCAGGTTTTCTCCAAACCACACCACGTGGGGTCGCAGCAAGCCTCCGCACCCTGCCATCTCGCACCTGGAAGGATGGGGTTGTTAAATCACCGTGGCCAGTTTGCAGGTGGACTGGAGGAAGGCTAGGGGCCGCCCCAAGCCCAGGCCACCCGGCTGGCCACCTCTGACCCTTCCTGCCCCATCCCGGCCCCGCCAGCCCACGTGAACAGCCCTGGACACCAGCGCTGTCTCAGCTGTCCTGTGACATGGCTGTCTCGTCGCTGTCCACTGAGTTGCACTCACATGGTTTCAGGCCAGCTCCAGAAAAGCTTTTTCTTCCCCAGTTACCTCACTACCTTTCTCAGCACAACTGTGCTCCATTCCTCAGACCTAGGCATCACTTTGGCCTCAGGTTCGCCTCTGAAACCTGCACCCTCCCCTCACTCCATCAGTGACGCCTTCCCTTCACTCTCAGATGCGCTTCTCTCCCGTGACCTGCCCACAGCCGGGCTGTTCGGCGTCCATTACTAAATATCTGTCTCTCACTCCGTCCTACCTCTAGGTCACCTCCTTTATAGCTGTACTTTCTAAACGCATCTCCCCCAAACACCAATTTCATCTCACTCATGTCCTACTCAGGAAACCCCTAGAGTGCCCTATTCTCTCAGATCGAAACTTCACAATTTAGTTACAAAACCCTTATGAGGAAAAAAATGTATTTTGTGGTTAAACTAATCCAGAGAAATATTAACATATTGTAACCCACTTTTAGAAAGCAAGAGCATACTTTAGCATTGTGCCAGGGCTTTTGTTTTTGTTTTGTGATACTGGAGATTGAAGCCAGGGCCTTTGGGCCATGCTACATCCCCAGCTTTTCCAGTTATTTATTTTTATGTTTTGAGACAGGGTCTGGCTAATTTTCTAAGTTGCCCAGGCTGGGCTTGAACTTGGGGTCTTCCTGCCTCAGGCTCCCAGAGTGCTGGGGATACAGATAGGTGTGTGCCACCGTGGCTGGCTGTGCCAGTTAATCTTAGTTGGCAACTTGACTATACTAAGAGACTCTGGAGAAGTGACTGGCTCCTGCGGCCCTGGATTAATCCCCAATGTTCACAGCTGAAGGTGCTATGTGGAGGTGGGGCCTAGGTAGAAATGGGTCACTGGGGGATGAGGGTGGATCTTTTCCCACATGCTCTGCATCATGGCCATCAGGAAGTGAGCAAGTTTGCTCCAGCACGCCCTTCCGCGATGTTCCACTAATAGAGCCAGTTGACCGTGGACTGAACCCTCTGGTACTGGAGCTCTGGGACTTATGTCTGGTGGTAGGTCCCACCCTTCCCCATGCTCAGCTTTCCTTCTTTAAATTGTGGGTGTCGGGTGTTCCGTCCCAGCAATGGGAAAGGTGGCCGCTACCAGTATATTAAACACTCTGAGACGTCCAACAGTAAAGCAAACATATTTTAACCTTGTTTCATCTAATGCTACTTATTTGAACTCATGATATCTCTTTTTTTCCCTAAGTAATGCCTACCTATGCTTCATGGACTATGCTACTCTATGAAATACTTTCAGAACTACTCTTTCTTTTTCTTTGGTTTTTGGAGACAATGTCTTGCTATGTAGTTTAGACTGGTCTTAAACTCACTATGTAGCTTAGGCTGGCCTTGAACTCATGGCAGTGTTCCTGCCTCAGCCTCCTGCGTGCTGGAATTATAGGCATGCACCTCCATGCCCAGGGTTTGGAAGCACTGTTTCAATATCTAGTTTTGAAAAACTAACATAAAAATCTTTCTAGGTTTTAAAAAACTCTACAAAAATGCTGTTTGGTCCCTTGTATGACCGTTTCTATTTCCCTAACCTTGGATTAATACCACTGAGGACAAGGAGAAAGAAGAGGAGGAAACCAGGAGCTAACATTTTCCAACTAATTGCAAGAAGCCAGCCTCTGTGCTTTCTGTGCACTGGAAAACCAGCTGTCACATAACAGCCTTGGGAACTTTCCAGACCTCAGATTATCTGCCAGAACACAAAACAAAATGGGACTGAAGCCGGGTGTTGTGGGATATACTAGTATCCCGCTACTCGGGAGGCTCAGGCAGGAGAATCCCTTGAGCCTGGGAGTTCGTGACCAGCCTAGCCAACATAATGAGATTAGTCTGTTAAAAGGGGAGGGGAATAAAGGATGGGGGGTCTGAAAGGTGTTCATTTGGTTCATCTCTGACCTCTCACCCATTTATGCATTTAAATCAAGAGGTATCTCACTGATAAATGTTTAGGTTTTGAATCCTAATTCTCCTTTTTTGCAATGGAACACCAAATACAAAGTTTATTGCCCACCGGGGAAGTTCTTCAAGTGGGATTTTGGTATCTTCAGCCTCGGGTTCAGGAGCACTGAGGTAAATAATATCAGAAAAGAAAAAAATGTCATTGGTATAACCAAAGAACAAAGAAACAAAGAAATAACGTAACCCCAAACATTGACAGCACACGGTAGGAACACCTAACTAGTGAGTGCTAATTTAGAAGGGTACGGGTAGGATGGAGTCCAAATAATGACCAGTGGTTTTACTTTAAAGGGGGGCGGGTACAGTGGTGGGGGAGGGGCTGGCATGATCAGGTGCGCTAACGGGGGTCTCATGATTTACACACTTCAGCATCATTTGAATCTTCTGAGATAACACTTATATAATTTATACTGTTCCAAAATGGCCCCAAAGATCATCTCCCAATAGTTTAAGTCCATTCTTAATGTTTTTTCTGAATTATAATAGTGCACATTCATCATAGAAATGTTGGAAAGCTCAGAATGACTAAGAAAGAAATAAAAACTATCCACAATCTTGCCACTTCTGACACTATTAACTTTTTTGTATTTTCTTTTAGTATTTCAACTAATGTACTGATACATAAACATAGAGTATATACAGTACATGTATTTAAATCAAAAGTTGGGAGGATCATATTGCATATAGTTTGGTATCCAATAGCTTTTAATTACCATTATAAATTGTAAGCAAAATACTTCTTTTATCTTAAATCTGTAGTATGTCTAGTCTTATTTCTCATAAATATCCATGGGGATCTTCAATAAATGTTCTATTTCCTATGAATCTGTTCAACTTAAGAAAGCAACATGCATTTATTTTGTAGTACAGTATAATTACCCTTTTCCCGATAGAGCTGGACAAATTGGGTTCTTGTAATTCTCAACTACAGATCCACAAGAGGTACACCGAGTTTTAAATATGGTACCTGAAAAACACACAGTAAGCAGGTCCAGAATTTAGCACAATCAAGAGCAGTCATCTTAAGTAGGCAATAGTTTGGATCTGAAATGTCCCTCAGAGGCCTGTTTGCCCTCAAGGGTCCATAGCTTGGTGCTCTTGGGAGATGGCAGAGCCTTCAGAGATGAGATCCAGTTGGAAGTCTTCTGATCACGTGGAGCTATGCCCTTGAAGTGGATATTGGGACCTTAGCCCCTCCACTTTCTCCCTTTTTGCTTCCCATCCACCATGACGTGAGCATCCTGCTTCTCCCTGCCATGATCATGGACTGAATCTCCAAAACTGTGAGCCAAGTTAACCTTCTGTCTTTTTTATTATCTCAGGAATTTTATTATAGTAACAGAAAGCTGACCAACACAGGGTACAAAATAATTTAGCTCTCATACAATCACTTTGGCAAATGGGCCTATCCTAGGCATCATAGGAAATATAAAGGCATGCTGTTCTACTGAACCAGCTAAGAACAAATGCTCTCGAGGGCTTTGTAATCTGGAGGGAAATAACTAACTCCTGAAGGTGCTCTCAAATCGCCTGGAAGGAATCTTCAGATGGAACTGAAGTGGTCAACCAGGAAGATGAAACTTGACCTAAAGCTAAGGGCAGGATTTACTAAGTATGTAATGTTTCAATGCCGTGGACTGTGTTTACAAAATCTTAAAACTGATTTAATAAAGGTTGAATCTTCTACACAAAATGAATCTTGGGCACAGGTTCCAGTCAGGTGCGATTCCAGCACCCCATCCCTCCAGCCACAGTGTTTGGTTACAGGGGTGGGCACAGAACCCAAGTGAGGTCATGCAGAGCTTTATTTTCTGAAGACCTAGCTTCCTGAGCAACAGAGAGCCTGGAGCCACCAGAAGTAACCTTACCTGACCCGTGGAGGCAGATGAACTGCAAAGGGAGAGGAGAGGTTAACAGAGCTGAAAGACAGGGGTCCGGGGAGGGAGCAGGGAGGGAAAGGAAGGAGCTGCTGTGGACATCAGCCCCACTCAGGCCCCCTCAGTTTCTTAAGCCAGTATCCCAATTCTGCTACTTTTACTATGGACAATTTCCCAGGTTAACACCTCTGGAATTTACAGTGTTCTACAGTCACTACCGGCCAAAAGCCACCATAGTCAATGCCTACACGGACTGGTTGAACGTAACATTGATCACTAAAAAGGGGGCCAACTTAATTGTTATTCTCAGTGGCCTGGCTGGACAAACACAACCCCCGGAAGTTATGGCCAACAAACCATTTAAGGAGCATTAGAAAAGGAAAATGAGGCCTGGTTGTTCTGTGATATCCTTCCACTAACACCTTTTGGTTAGACTGACAAAGGACAAAATAAGACTGGCAGCGCCTGAGGAGAGTCCCAGAGTACACATGCACGCTTCATCCTGTCCACTCCTTCTTCAGAGAATCACTTCTCCTCTTCAAAGCTGGGCTGACAGAGTTGTCAATCACATCTCAAGTCCAATCAGGGGAGAATCCTGGAGGCGGAGGGGCGTAGAGCCCAGAGGGGACACTGCAAAATGCAGACCTCGTGTCTCTGAGTCATTCAGAAGAGCTAGGCAAGGAGAAATGTCCTCACCAGCCTATTCCACTTGTGTTACGTATGCACAGGATGACATAATCCTCTACAACCCATCTAAGTGTTTGACATCTTATTTGTAATTGGTGTAACAAATGTGCCTATCTATGGGGTAACTGGATACATGTGTGCAGTGCATAATGTTCCCAGAAGGGCACATAGCATTTTTATCTCCTCACCCATTTATCATTTCTTTGTGTTTGAAGCCCTTTCTATAAGAATAAAATTATAAACTTAAGGGAAAATAACATAGCAAATCATGGTTTAGGCAGATTCTTTTCTAAATATCACAGCAAGATCACAATGCATCTTAACATTGATGGCATCTTCAGTTTGGTGAAGTGAAAAGGTTTCTTTTATTTTTGCTTAGTTAAAAGAGAGTTCTGATCATCTGCAACGCAAGAGTCCTGACCAATACACACATGTGGTCTTCTGTCACCCTTCTCGGACCCTGTAGATGGTATGGACGCCTCTGCTCTCCATGTGGCAAACATGGCGGAGAAAGCAGAACCAGGTGCCAAAAGCTTGGGTTAATAGGTGGGACATGAGAGAGAGGGGCTGCAGGTGAGCAGTGTGCAGCTTTCCTTAGCTGGTGGCCTACAGAGCAAAGCCAGATGGCCTTGCTGACCATGTGCAAATCCCACACCCACAAACCACCTGTGCTTGGGAACTTGTGCGCCTCCCGACTCAGCCTCCCAGAGTGCACCACCACATCCAGCCGGGACAGGTGTTCTACAGCCAGGTTCCCCTCACCGTGGATCTCCAACAGGTTCTTGGTGCCAGCCCTGCGGTGTAGCTCATCGATGTTCTGGGTGATGACCATGACCCGGCGGCCTTGCTTGCTCAGCCGGGACTCACACTCGGCGATGGCGAGATGCCCGCGGTTGGGCTCCTTGGTCAGGATGACGCTGCGCCGGTAGTGGTAGAACTCCCACACTCGAGCGGGGTTGCGGGCGAAGGCCGTGGGGGTGGCCAGTTCCTGTGGGCAGAGAGGCAAAGGGCTGGCTTGTCTCTAAGACACAGGGCACTGGGTGAGGCTGGGGCATGGCGCTTCCGGTCCCCACTGTGTGACCAGCCCAGGTCCCAGGACTGAGGGACAGGAGAAGCGGGTCTTAGTTACTGGAGCAAGACAGGCCAGGTAAGCCCTCAAGTAAGTTACGCACAGGGTAAAGTAGTGTGTGGGGCAGTATTTGGGCTTGAATTACTTTTTCACAGAGCTCCAAAATATATAAAGACAATCTCATTTTGAAGTAACTCAGGAAAAACTATGAAATGCAAGATGCCCAAGGGACGGACCATGGTCACAACTGGGAAACTCAAGTTTTGTAACACACATACATACCTTTCACAACTACACAACACTATATATACATAAAAGTGTACACAAAATACACAGCTACACAGATGACACACAAACTACACATATATACATATACCAACCACACACAACCACATACATACATGCAACTGCACTTGCACAATATAAAAGGCAGTATATTTATAAACAGAATATACAAAATATCCGTGTTCTGGAGTGTGATATTGTAGCAGAGATGCATCTTGGCTGGGTGGAAGGGCAGAGCACTTCCTTCTGATGGAAAGGACCTAAGGAACCCTTGTCAGGGATAGAAATGTTCCATGTCTGGGTGGTATTTGTGGTGATGTTAACACAGGTGAATCCACCTTGCAAAACTCAGCACACCGAACACACAACATGCATGTGTAAACTGCCTCGGGAGAAGCGAGGGTCCTGTCAGGACAAGTGTCCCACTCACAGGGGACCCGAGATGTGTGTCAGGCCCCCTTCCCCGGCAGTGACATCAGCCCTCCCTCTGTGAGCAAATCTCATGCACTGTGGGTGACTCGCATCCTCCTGCACGCCTTCCCTCCTGCTCACACCTGTGACACAGTGACCTGTGGACTCTGCACAGGTACTCAGAGGTCGTGTATGGGTGGCATCAGGTGCCTTCTGCTGACCTCTTTGCCAACAAACCTGGAGCTGCCCTAGACTAGGTGCACCCTCCCCCACCACCCCTCAGCCCTCCCAGCCCTGCTGCTGCTCTCCAGGGACACCTGGTGGTCCCTCTTTCTTGCTGGATCCTACTGGCCCTCTGTTCCTTTCTCCCCTGCTTCACTTTTCAGGGGAGGATTGACAACCTACAAGGTGACAACACATCCCCAACATCTGCCAGCTCAGACATTTAATGGAGGGAGGAGAGGCAGTTCATGAACTTGCACTGCATGAGACATTACCTGCTAAAATGGGAAGTCAGGTGTTGATTGTGATAACTTATGACTGTCTTCATGTAACCAACACAGATACCAAGCACCAACAATGTGCCAGGTTCTGGGATCTGGGAACAGCAAAACTCCCTGCTCTCCAAAACTAAGGATTTTCCGAACGAGAGGACAGGATGGGGTGGAGATGATGGACCAAGATGGAATATTCTGGAGGGACAGAGATAGTCACTCTTAGGCTGGAGGTGTAGCAGTGGTAGAGTGCTTCCCCAGCATGTGCAAGGCCCTGGATTCTAACCTAGTACTGCAGAAAGAAGAAAAGAGAAATGTCCTGCATTGCAACCATGGTGGTAGCTACACAACTATACCTATTTCCTAAAACTCACTAAATCATACAATTAAAATTGGTGAATTTTACTACATGTGTATCTCAAAAATTGAATTTAGGCCATGTGTGCTGGCACATACCTATAATCCCCGCACTCTGGGGAGATGAGGCAGGAGGATTGCAAGCTCAAATCCAGCCTTGGCAACTTAGCAACTTAGTGAGACCCCATCTCAAATATAAAAGGGTGGGGATGTTGCTCAGTGGGGAGGAACTGGGTTCAATCCTGAGTACCACACCAAAAAGAAAAAAACTGAATGAAAAAAAACAAATGCACACATTTTTAGATTCATTTAATAGCCTTCATATAAATGAACATCAAGCTCTAAGCCTTGAACAACTCAATTTTACTTTTAATGTGAACACGTCACAGAAACTTTGAAAATACATAATACTTAATTTCAATTATTTTTAGAAAAGTAATGAATTGTGCTAAGATTTCCTGATTCCACTTTTTTTCCCTTTTCTTTTGCAGTACTAGGGATTGAATCCAGGGCCTTGTGCATGCAAGGCAACATGTTAGGCAAGTGGTTTATCACTGAGCTACATTCCCAAGCCCTTTTTAAAAACTTCTGAGACAAGGCCTAGCTAAATTACCCAGGCTGGTCTCAAACTCACAATCTTTCTGCCTCAGCCTCTGAGGACCTGGAATTACAGGTGTGTGCCACTGCTTCTGGCTCTGACTCCTCTTGAATGCAATTTATTTTTTACTTGAATAAATGTAATCTATTTACATCTAGAAGGTAAGGAAAGTAACCACTTTGCTTACATTTGTGACCTTAATCATAGGGACTTCATGTTGATGCCAAAATCAACAGGACAAAAGGGTCACTGATCATTTCAAAGCTTTCCCTCCACCGGCAGTACAGGTTCTGAGTCAGTGTGGCATGGTCTCGCTCAAAAGGGTCTGCTTCTGAGTGTCCTGGAAGCACTACTAACCTCGGCTTTCCACTTTCTCCAGTAGCCGCCAGCTCCTCTGAACGTGGGAATCCCACTTTCAGCACTAATGCCAGCCCCGGAGATGATGACTATGTGCTTGGCGCTTGCAAAACACTTCCGAAAATCTGCCATATCTAAACAGAGAATGAAAGCTGTCAGTCCAGTATACCACTTGGACATTTACACCCATGGCAGCTGTCTATATTTGGACGCTTCACCTGGTACAAAATTTTGCTTTCAGATACTCAAATAAAAGTCATTCCTGTATCATGGAGACACCATGTCACATACAGTGCCTTAAAGCCTCACAATCTCAGCTCTGCCTCCCACCCCACTGTGTGATCTGGGAAATTCCTTACCCTCCTTTCTCTCAGGGTGCACAGTGGTGCCTGCCTTAGAGTGGAGCTCAGTGCAGATTATAAAAGGCAGATGGCTAGGAATCCATCTTCCTTCATGCAAGTCAAAGCACTTGTGTATTTGTGTGAGGGCCAAGCTGGGATTCACTGGATCCCACAGCCCCCAGTTCCTCTCCAAATTAACCTTCCCTATGGGGATCTTGCTATGGGGACCCATCTTCTTGTAGCACAGAGACCAAAGGTGAGAACAAGCTGCTCCTGCCCACCCAGTAAACAAGTGTCCTCCCCCAAACATGGCAAAACCTTCGCTTTCATGGCTCAAACAAGAATCAAGCTTCTCCACAAGGCATGAGCAGACTTGGGATGCAGGAAGGGAACTGAGCCCCAAGAATGACATGCCAGTGGGTAGGCATGGTCACAAGCTATGGCCTACCTTCACGCCCTACACCTCCAGGCAGCCCTCGGACCAGCAGGGGGAGCTGCTCTGGGTAGCAAGAGCCCTCCACACCCCAATTTAACACTGAGCAAACTTGATGTGGTCCATGGGTGGCCTTCTTCCCTGAAGAAATGCTCTCATCCTAGGACAGCATCAGGAGCCAGGCTTGGAGCTGACAGAGGGACTGGGCTGCCATTGTTTCTTAGGAAGAGAACTAGGCCAGGCATAGCCTTTGCCTGGAACAACTCTCCTCTTCCAGGCCCTGCTGACCTATGGCCTCTGTGTGCAGGGCATGCTCTGGGTCCGTGGCAGGGTATGCAGCGAGGATACAGAGCTTCCAGAAGGAGAAGAGAGACTTCCTCTTCCATCCTCCCCATTGGTGAAGCAAGTACCAGCCCAGCATTGTTCCAGATGCGGAAATGTTCAGGAGTGGCCAACCTGTGTTAGAGCACTAAGGGTTTCAGCTGAGATGGAGCTGAACTCATGTGCAACTAAGCAGGCTTCCTGGCCTTCCCTTCTGTGGTAAGGCCAACCAAGAATAATGAGTGTCCCTGAGAGAATGGGGACAGGCAGAATGGGGACAAGGAGCAAAGACAGCGGAATGGGGCTCAGAGACAGTGAACCTGGGTATTACCTGGACTGTGCCCTCTTTTGCATCCCCAGCTGGTAAGGAGGTTACGCTCGTTCCTCTTATACGGATAATGCCCTCTAGGCAGAGACAGGCCCTCCATATCCTCCTAAACCAGAGTCACACACTGCCCAGCCTGGGATAGAGACCCTGGTAAAGGCCCAGTCCCCCCTCCTTTTCCCTCCCTTGCCTCACAGTGGACCCATGGCAAAGTGTGAACAAAGGGTGAAAGCGGACTCTCAGAACAGAGGCAGAGAGCCCCAGGTCCTCTCCAGCTGCACTCCTGGACCTGGCTGGGCTGTACTCTGGCACTGTCAGGCGGAGGCAAATGGAGATGGTTCAGACATAAGGCTGTCTTCACTGGAACCCACCCAGGACCCGTCCAGTCATGCCAAAGACCAGCCCAGCCTCCCAGCCCTTTCAGAGCTGGACAGGTCAGAAAATCAGGCCCATCTGGAGACTATAGCTCCCCAGCCAGGAGGAATTTGGAAGAAGAAACCTATCCTGGGTAGATTAAGAGTTTCTAATCTGGCCTAATCTTCTGGAAGAACAATGCACCAGTACTGTACATTAATAATGAGAAAATGTTAAAAGGGGAAACCCACTTTCCAGTCTCCCTTCTGTCTCTCTTAGACAGAAGCTATCTTTCTCTCAATAAATTTTTCCTACTCTTACAAAGAAATAATGTAAATGAAAGAAAAAAAGAAAAGAATGTACTCTTCCAGGAACTATCTGTATGAATCCTGGGTCCAACCCATAAAAAACATCCCTAAAGATGTCAAAGTTCACTCCTAAAACTATCACCAGCCCCAGTGGTCTTTTCTACTCCGTGGGGAAAGTGATACCTCCTGACAAATCCCAAGGTCACTTCAAGTGACTTCTATTAAGGTACCATTCTGGGCTGGGGATTTAGCTCACTGGTGCCGCTGCCTGCCTCGCAAGCGCAAGGTCCCAAGTTCAATCTCTGGTACCAAAAAAAAAGATATGCCTTAATATTAAGGTACCATTCTAAAAGCAACTTTTACAAACAAGGTCAACTAGGATTGGTTCTTGGAAAACAGGGTATAAGATAAAGTAATGTTAAGAAGTATGAAATATTTTCCAGGGCTGGGGATGTAGCTCTATAGGAAAGTGCTTATCTAGCAAACACAAGGCCCTGGGTTTAACCTCCAAAGTACTATAAAAACCCCCACCACTACTACAAAAACCCCCACCACTACCATTTTCCAGCTGCTGAAGGCAAACCCGCCACCATATTGTGAGGCTCTGGCATGAGATGATCCACTGCAGGCCACAGTCAGACCTGAGCTTCTGGATCCACCACAGACTCTGGCACAGCTGATAGTGGAGCAGAACTGAGCACCTTTGGTTCGTTTCTATCCCCAAGACTGGGCAGAGTGGAAGGAGTCATTATGCCCAGGTAGACTCTCAGTATCAGGAAAAGTTATCCAAAAGTTGAAAATAAGGCAAAAAGAGCTTGCCTTCACCTTTCAATGCCATTCTGAAGCTCTGACAGGCTATATCATTTGATTAGAAAAACTGGTTAGTTCCTACGCTTCCTGCAGACTAAGGGCCCAGATGTGTTAACTTACAGGGTTTCATCAGGTACAGATACAATTTTGGTCCATTAGAAAATTGAACCTTATATTACCCTAGAGAAGAATCACCACCTTTCTCCCCTGCAGAGAGGGGATGGGTTTAAAATACAAACCATGGGCTGGTCATGGAGCTCACTGGCAGAGTGCTGGCCTTCTTGGGTCCAATTCCCCAGCACTGTAGAACAACCAAAACACCCACTAATCATATGTGAAAAGCACAAACACAAACATTCTGGGAGAAGCAATATACTGACTGAATAAGTGGATGGAACATGGGTAGTGAGAGACAAATGCAGTCTCTGCCTACAGAGGATTTGCCTAAAAAGCACAAGGACAGGGAATCTTTGTCCAAAGCTTCGCACAGCGCCTACTTCCACACAGAGGTCCCCCTTGAACTGCAGAAACACTCAGGATCATCACATGGTGCCCAAGAATGACTTACTGGAACTTCGACGAGCCATTACCAGGCAAATTTTGCTTTGCGGGGAGGCTGGAAGCTTCTTTCCACAACACGGTTGGGAAATTAATCGGCTTGTGACAATCTGAAGAGGTCGCATCAGGGTTTCTTTGCGGTACTAATTCTCTAGGCAGGCTTTAGAAAAAAAAATCACAAAAGAGAAACAATCAGAAAAATATTCAAGTATATATGTACGTGTATGTGTGCACACATACGAGTGTTGAGGGTACTTTTATATACACACACTCAGATGTTCCTTGACTTACAATGGGGTTGCATCCTGAAAAACCCATGATGAGATGAAAATTTTAATTAAAATGAATTGAATACACTTAACCTGCAGAACACCATAGCTTTGCTTAGCTTAACCTACCTTAAAAATGCTCAGCACACTTAATGAATCTACAGCTGGGAAAAATCATCCAGCACAAGGCCTAATCAATAATAAAGTGCTGACCATCTCATGTGATTTACTGAACACTGTACTGAACATGAAAAATAGCACCAGGTAAAGCCCAAAAGTCTTAGAATAGAATCATGGTGAGTCAGAGACTGCAGAAATAAGAATACTCATAATTGTAGTATTGATCCTAATCACAGTATTGATCCTCTACACTGGCTGTTTACAACTCAGGTTCTCCAGTGCGCCTTGGATGTGTGTATTTGGGTGGGTGGATGTGGTCCTGAGCAGTGCTTCTCAGAGTGTGGAACCGACCAGCAGCAGCTTTACCTGAGATGTCAGGAATTCAAAGCCTCAGGCTCTACCCCAGACCACGGAGTCAGATGGTCTGCAGAGCCCACGGTCCATTTCCCGATCACCCTGCTAACCACAGGAGAATAACTGCTTTAGAGGCTAGGAAGGAGTTAAATGGGAGAATTCATTTGAAAAACTGCTTTTAAAAACATATGACAATCTCAGGCTGGGGATTTAGCTCAGTGGTTCTGCCACCTGCCCCGCAAGTGCAACATCCCGACTTCGATCCCCGGTACCAAAAAAAAAGATATGAAAATCTCCTTCAAAATCTCTCTCAACTTTTGGTCAAGGGCACATTCACAATTAATACAGCTGCTATGAAAAGAAGGTACGATTCCACTCATATGCCATTCTGGAATAAGAAAACTGTGGGGTCAGGAAATATGTTTGTGGCCATTGGCAGGGGGAAGAGTGAAGAAATACAAAGGGCCGTGACAGGTCGGGGAGGTAATGGAATTGTCCCATGTCGTGTGGCAGTTACATGACGGTGTCTATCAAAACTCATAGAACTAGGGGCCGGGGATTTAGCTCAGTGGTTCTGGCGCCTGCCTCTCAAGCGCAAGGTCCTGAGTTCAATCCCCGGTACCAAAAAACAAAAAAACTCATAGAATGCCACACAAAAGTGTTAACTATACTGTATGTAAATTAATAATAGGCACAGGGTTCAGTTTTATAAAATGAAGACTTATGCAGGTTGGTTGTACAACAACGTGAATGTACTTAACACTGTTGAACGGTATCTTCAGAAAAGGTAAACTTTTTGTTACGTATGTTTCACCACAATTTTTAAAAAGTAGAATGAAAGTTCTTCCATCTGACAGAGCTCTCCATAATGTTGGGAGAAAAATGTAGATAGTCTTTTGTAAGAGATAGGAAAAGGGATATAAAAATATACTTTAGTATCTTCTTGAATTTGTATCTATAAAAAGAATTCATAAAAAATCAATAGAAGAACTGATGTGGGCTGGAAATAGGATAGATGGAGACAATCCGCAGAGACAAGGATTTCAACCCATGTTAATACATTGTGTGGGATGTCCACCCTTCCAGCCAGGGACCCGGACCCATGTGCGGCTGAGCCAGGCGCCGGGAGAGAATGTGCCGTGAGAACCGCAGGGTGTTCCAGTGAGAATTGAGAAGCAGTGTTAGGGTGCTTGGGCTGGTGTCAGGTCATGCTGGGGAGGAGTTCACAGAAGTGCAGCTTTGTCCCAGACTGGCTGCTGCTAGGAAACAGCTGCTGTGGTTGGCGTTGTAATGAACCTTAACTAAGCAGATGAAGGACTAAAATGAGGCTGACCCTGTGACTGATCGGCCAGTGGCAATCCCTCAGGTCACCCGGGATGGGCACGCTTTGGTCCTTCTTGTGGTTTACACAGTGTTCTGTGTCTGAGTTCAGACATGGTTACTGATTGGTCTTGTTTCTGTTCTGACCCATTGTGGTCACAGGCAAGGGTGGCCTTGGCTGACACTGGTGTTCTGTGGCATGGCTTATGTTCAACAGGAGATCACCAAGTCCTGGTGCAGAGTGCCAGGTCCCAAACTGGAAGCAACCCAAATGCCCATCAACTTCTAAGTAAGTAAACAAACTGTGGTTTACTCATGCAATGCAGATGACTCAGCAATAAAGAACAAACTTGGAATACATTCAACAGCATGAAGGACCCTTTAAAGCAGGCTGAGGCAGGAGGATTGCAAGTTTGAGCCCAGCCTGGACAACTTGGCAAGAACTTGGCCTAAAGTAAAAACTAAAAAAGGGCCAGGGATACACTTAGTGCAAAGCCATTAGTTTCACACCCCAGCACCACAAATAATAAAATAAAATAAATTATGCTATGGTAACTTTACAGTGGAAACTTGGCAGCTATCATCCTAACCAAGTGATGAAGGTGAACACTAACTCACTGGTAAAAAGTCAACTTCATCTACTGCCTAATACGATGCAGAGAGAAGAGCAAAGCTTTGCTTGTACAGAACTTTCCTCAAAGAATGCGAAATTAATTACTGGAAAATACCAGACAAACCCACAACAGGGACACAGGGAGTGTTACTGCAGTTTAGATTTTACTTTTTAATTATAGAAAATCTTAAACATATATGAATAATAGTATAATGAATCCTAAGATTTGTCACCCAGCTTCAGTAGGCTTTAAAAAACATTGTCATGATGGATAATTGTTAAACTTGTATATTTAGATGAAAATTATAAAGATTAAAGCTCCCCAAAATGCTTATCTTTAACTATGAGCTTCTTACATGATGCAGGGAGTTATTTTTAGCTTACTGTGTGTGTTTAGCTATTTCTTTCAAAGATGAAATGTTTATCTTCACTGTTGCTTTCTAATATTTGAATTCAGAGCACATCAATATGCTCAAGACTTCCATTTTGATCCAGAGTCAATTTGCAGGACATAAAATCAACATAGAAAAGTTAGTAGCATTTTATATTCTAACTACAATCTACCCAAAATAAAAATTAAGAAAACAATCTTATTTAAATGGAATAAAAAAGAAATACTTAAGAATAGATTTAATCAAGGAGGTGAAAATAAAACCTGCCTACTGCAAACAAAAGCATTGTTGAAAGTAACTGAAGAAGATACAAATACATGGAAAGGTGACCTGTGTTCATGTGACTGGAAGAGGACTGTCTAAATGTCCATCAATCAAAAGTGATTCAATGCAATCCCTATCAAAATTCCCATGCCTTTTTAAATGGAAAAGACAATCCTAAAATTCATATGGAACTACAAAAGACGCCAAGATAGCCAAAGGAATCTTGAGCAAGAACACAGCCAGGGGAATCACACTCCTGATTTCAAAATATTAAAAAGCTATTGTACTCACAACACCACAGTACTGGCATAAAGAGGCACACTGACCAACAGGCCAGGGTACAAAGTCTAGAAATAGATCCACCCGTTGAGAGCAAATTAATTTTCAAGAAAGATGCCATGAACACGATGCAGAAAGTAGTGTTGAGAAAACTGGCACCCACTGGACCTTTATCTCACATCATATACAAAAGTAAACTCAAAATGGATTGAAGAAACTTAAAAGACCTGAAACTATAAAACTATGAGAGGAAAATGGGTGGAAATTGCCATGACACTAGTCTGGCAATGATTTCTTAAAACAGACAACAAAAGCAAAAACAGATAAATGGGATTGGATCACACTGTGAAGTTTCTGCACAGCAAAGGAAACAACTCCCAGATTGGAAGAAAATATTTGTAACCATACATCTGTTAAGGGGCTACTACCTAAAATATACAAGGGACTCAACAGAAAGAAAACAATTTTTAAAATAGGCCAAAGACCCAAACAGGTATTTCTCAAAAGAAGCTAATGTGGTAACAGATAAATGGAAAAATGCTTAACATCTCTAACCTATGGGAAAATGCAAACCAAACTACAATGAGATATTACCTCACCCCCTTTAAAATGGTTAGTATAAAAAAGATGAGACATATGTTATCAAGGATGTGGAGAAAGGGAACCCTGTCGAATGTGCAGGCTGGGAATGTAAATTATAGCCATTTTGGAAGACAGTATGGAGGTTCCCCAAACAAAACTAGAATTATCACACGATCTAACAATTCGTTTGTGTATACAGGAATAGGATTTAGTATCAGTGTGTTGCTGGTCTCTCTGTATCACATGCTAATTTCGGCATTATTTACAATAGCTAATGGTATGGAAGCAACCTAAATGTCCACCAAGATAAATGAATAACGAAAATGTGGAACGTATACATAATGGAATACTACATGACCTTTAAAAAGGGAAATTCTGGGGATGGAGATGTAGCTCAATAGTAGTGCTTGCCTAGTACATACAAAGCCTTGGATTGGATCCCCAGCACTGAAAGGGGGGAGGGCATTCTGTGGAGAACCATATGTTACATGAAAGATAAATACCACGTGATCTCACTTAACAGTTGTAAAGTATAAAAATGTTGAACTCATACAAGCAGGGAATAGAATGGTGGCCACCAGAAGCTAGAGGTGAGGGAGGAATGGAGAAAGTGGAGGTATTGGTTGAATGGTACAAAGTTTCATTTAGAGTGGAGCAGTAAGCTTTAGTGATCAATTGCACAGCCTGGTAACCTCAGTTGATAACACTGTATTGTTTATTTCAGAACTGCTAAGAACAAACGTTCTCACCACAAACACCCAAGTGTGTGAGGTGATGACTAGGTGGATTAGCTTCATTTAATCTGTCTACAATTACGCATGTATCAAAACAGCACACTGTACACTATAAACATATACAATTATTTTTCAACAGAAAATTTAAAAAATTTGAGGAATGGAAAAACACATGGTAAAGAATATTGCAAAGGAACTATAAAAACTTTCACAGGCGTTCAACTTTTGGGTAACTGAGCTACATAAGCGCAATAACCCCTGGTGTTTACACTGGTGGACTCCATGCCCTCTCGGCCTCCACCGCCTGCTCTCCAGGTTACCGGTGACCTCTACCAGGTGACCCCTACCAGCCTCCGACCAGCTGATCACTTTACTGGGAAATGCCTGCTTCCCCTGGCTTGTGGCCCCTCACCCTTTCCTGGTCGTCCTCCTGCCCTCCGGATCTCCCATCCTCCTAGGGCTCCTCAGCCTGGCCCCACGCTTGGCACTGTCCCCACGTAAGTGTCCCCACGCCGCCTCCTCCCAAAGTCTCGCCATCCTGCAGCCCGACGCCCGGACCCGGACTCTGACCCTGACCCCTCGCTTTCTCCCACGCCCCACAGCCAGCAAATCCTGACCGCTCCGCTCCACCTTCACACAGTGTTCCGAATCCGGACCCCATCCCGTCCTCCGCCACTCCTGGCCTGAACACAGCGGCCCGGGCCCCTGCTCCGATCCCGGCCGCTGCACCCGCGCCGGGCTGAGGCCTACTCCGGGCGCCTGGGCCGCCCCGCGCCTCCCCCGAGTCCGCCCAGGAAGCTGCTCGCTGCCCCTAGCCATCTCTCGCGACCTGTCCCCTCCGCTGTCCCCGAGACCTCCCTCTGGCAGACCCCTCAGCCCAGAACACCTCGTCGCCACCCCCGCGTCTTCTCCCCCGGTCGGCGGCGACCCCACCGTCTCAGGCCTGGGCTTCCGGCGGCCCCGGGTCGCGCGTGCGCACTGCGACCGGCGCGCTCTCGGCCCGGACGCGGCCTGGCGGAGCTGATGGGGGTCCCGCTCCCGGCTGGGCCGCCTGGGCGGCACCTCAGGCCCGGACTCACCTGCAGGCGGCGGGCGGCGCGGAGGCCTGATAGGAGACTCGCGTCCCGCCCCAGCTGCAGCGGCCCCTGCCGGAGACGCAGACCCCCACCCGGCTCCAGTCCCAAGGCTCTAGCTCCTCTGCCCTGTCCTGTTCACTGCTGGACGATTGTTTCTTTTTTCTTTTCTTTTTTTTAAACTCTTTTTTAGAGAACGACGGGTTGCGGGCGGGCGTGTTTGCTTGCTTCCTCTTTCTGACCTCCCAAGGTTCACTCCTGCCCAGGTAGGTCGTGCATTACCGCCTGCCCTGCTTCCTCCTTGAACAGACTGCTGGAGCACTCAGCTCAGGACTGAGTGCTCCAAATGCAGGCGCATTTCCCCTGGAATCCTGTTCCCAGCGGTGTTGAGGTGGTTCCCAGGCCGGCCCACCCAAACCCCTCTCTAACCCAGTGACAAATGCACCAGGCGCCGGTCCATTCGCACTGCAGGACTGCGGCTGCTCTGCTGAGACCCCTCCAGGGGCCCTGCGCTCAGCATCAGCACTGCCCTTCCTGGAATGGAATGGACCTGCTGATGGACCTGAAAGGGAAGTGATCTGAGAACTCCGGGCAAACATTTCAGACCCCCTCCCCAGATCTCACTGAACCACATCCCACAGTTTGGCTGGAAATTCTGCCCACTTTGAGTTCTCTAAGCACCTCCTTATAGAGTCAAAGAAGTTTGAGTAGGCCCTCACGTCTGGCTGTTATATTTTCTCTAACACGTATACGGGGCTTAGTCTGTGCTTGACTCTTGTAAGAACTTCACATGTATTAACCAATTAAAAATCTTCCCCACCACCTGATGAAATATGTACTATTATCTTCACATTACAGCTGGGGAAACTGGGGCCCGGGAAAGTCAAGTAACTGCTCAAAACACAAAGCTCTTAATTAGTAACACTGAGATTTGGATTTAAGTGCTTCAGGTCCAGATTAGGCTCCAGCCTGTGAGACTGAACAACAGTTACTCCATTTTGTAATAGGGCCCCAACTTGTCTGCTTCTGTTACAGATCACCAGGTAGACATCGAGTTCCAGGGATGTGCTTGTTGTGCCAGGAAGGTCTGTTGTGTGTGTAGTGTTCCATCATGCTTGCCTAACTCCATATCTGAAGGTCTGTTTTATCCCTCTCCTCTGCTTTTGTATTTCTGCTTGCCAACTTCCCTCTGACATCTCCTATAAAAGGACCTCAGGCTCTGAGCCTCTTGCCTCTCTAAACTTGGAGCTTGGAGAGTGCCATCTGGCCAGACTAATAAAGGTCTGTTTTACAGCTTGTCCGGTGTGTTCCCTCCCGGGTGATCTTCGCTGTAGTTAGCTCCTCGGAGCGTTTGGTGAGGCCCACGGTCTTACACAGCCCACTACATACACCAGCTCTCAACATGTGTCCTATTGCTTTTGGTATTAACCACCATATGGTAATCCTTTACTACCCTTTGGATACATGAGGGTGGAAGGAAGACAAAACCACCTAGGAGACAAGGGAGAAGGGCCTGAGGCTCCCCCCAAAATGCGTTTATATTGCATTGCCCCAAACACCTTGCAGGCAGCCTGGCTGCATGAGGTGTCCCACAGCGGCTACGGGAGATATTTGTAGCAGGCTTCAGTCACAGACCCATCCCAGATGACTGTGTCCTGTAGCCTCTCCGGATAATTCTGCCCCTCTGCAGCCCTCCTCATTCAGACCCACAAAGAGCTCCACCTCTCCCCATGACCAAACAGAAAGTTTGACCCTGCACGTGGGCGAGCCCACCTTTATTCTTTATAAACAACCTCCCCATACCCTTACTGAGTTCAGTCTGTGCACTGTTTCCCCTTATGTGGCAGCAGAAGTCCTAATAAAGCCTCTTCCTGGTGGCATGCTCTTGCTTAACTCATGATTTCTACCTCAAGTAGAGCATGCTGAGCTGGTACACTAAGCTGGTAGCACCAAAGGCCCCTGGTGCCAAAAGCAGCCAGCAGCTGGAGCTGGTAACACTGAAACCAGCCTGTAGCAGAGAACAGAGTAATGAAAAATAGCTGGGAGCTGCCATCCCTGGTGGCCAGAAGAGGCCCTGAGACCGGCTGGCGGCTGTTAGCTCTGCGTGACAAGGAGGGCAGCTGACACTAAAAGAGCCACACTCCGCCTGTGACTTCTGTGTGAATTGAGCGAGGACACGCAGCTGATTGGTGACATCTTGGAAGTTGGTACAGGGATCTTCTTTTCTAGAGGGCCCTGAAGAAGAGGGCAGACAATAGTGGTGGCTAAGAACTCATGACA